TAATAGTAATAGTAGTAAGAATAATAATAATAATAATAATAAAAACTTACATCGCCTGCGATAAAGGTGACACGGACATTGCGGCTGACAGCGATAGCCTGCAAGATCTCAACGAACCTCTTCTTCTCATCAGTGTGAACGGCGCAAGCCCATGCATCAACCTAGAAAAAAGGATATTAAAAAAAAAAAAAAAAAAAAAAAAAAGGTGTTAAAAGGAGGAGGCTGGGCAGGCGGGTGACCATAAATATTTAGATGAGAGCCCATTCACCATGGGTCTCCGGATAGACAAATTGTAATAATAATAAAGGTATATAGTTACAATAATAATAATAATAATAATAATAAAATCGGCTTACCAAATCGTCCAACAACTCTGGACCAAAGTGACCCAAGACGTTCATGAAGGCCTTGCTCTTGCCAAAGACCTTACCAATGAGACTTCCACGCGACAAGGAGTCACCCATCTGCTCGAGTGTGTCCTCGAACAAGGTCAAAGCTGGGTATACCAAGGGAGTACCAAGGACAACAACAACGTGGCGGGTCGTGGGCAACATCTGTGCACGGATCTCACGGTCCAACATCTCATAGGTCTCATTGGAAAGAACAGTTGCCTTGGAACGCTCGGAGCGGGTATCAGGAAGGACGACGAGCGTACGTTTTCCAAAGTGTGTGATGTTGTTATAACCCTTGCCGCTAGCAGAGGTGATGAGAGCAGCCTTGGAAGCGTGGTTCGGGGTAGAGTGCTGCTGGAAGAGAAGGTAGAACTTTGTGGCAGCAGCACCGATGCCTTTTCAAAAAAAAAAAAAAAAAAAAAAAAAAAAAAGTTGGTATTAGTTAGGTCCATGGGCATTATATTCACATCCTTTTTGTGTTGTGTACGAGGGGCGTGCTTTTGCATGTGTGAGAATAAAATTCACAATAAACTTCACGGGTTTATATGCATGCATGCAGAAGTAAAATTTAAATAGATCCAATTGATCTCGGAATATAAGACACCGAAGAAAAAAAAAAAAAAAAAAAAAAAGTAGAAAATGGAATAACGCGAGATGATTCCAAATTGCGAGATGAGCAAAAAGAATGAGTGGAGGCATGAAGACTCTTTTCAACATCGGCATGAGACTTACCCTGCATAACATTCGAAAGCTGATAGTTGTCGGGATAGGAGCCATATCCATCGAGGATATCATGATCGTCCCAGGTATTGACTGATGGGATCAGGGACAGGGCCTTGGAGTAAGTGCCGGTGATAAAGTGCTGAGCATAGTGATCAAAGTAATACTTCTCAACAGCGTACTTCTTTTCATTTGTGAATTCAGTTGCGATCCTCGTTTCCTCATCCATTCCCAACCACTCGAGCATTTCGGGGATAGCCAAGACATCGTCGTTGTAAATCTGGTCACCGCCTCCGATCATGGCATGGAAGGGCTTGCCATCATGACTTGCCAAGAGATCATCCCACAGAGGGTTAGCGCCCTTGAAGTTGGTCTCGGGATCCTCGACATCGGAGGTGAAGCCGTTGCAGGAGTAGAAAGCCCAGTTGAAGGGTTCATCCAGGGCAGGGATGAAGAAGTTCCATTTCTGAGGCTGGTGCACCCGGCGACCATCCTCGGTTTCAAACCAGTACTCGATATTTTTCTCACGATGGGCTAGAAGGGTCAGCTGAATATCGTATCTGTAAAAGTGATTGCCTTCCCAGGTCTCGAGATGGCGGGGACGAGAATAACCGATCTGGGACTTTGTAGGGTCACGGATGACCAGACGGGGTACGTCCTCACGATCGGAGACAATGAGGACTGAACCAACCCAGCGACGTTGCTCAACAATGATGTTTTGGAAGCGGAGAATAGGCCCGACCTTGAATTGAGGTGAGGGAAGAATAGACTCGTATTCTTGACGTGCGGCCTCGATAGCAGCATCCTCGACTTCCTCGTCATCATCTACCAAAGGATCTCGGCCATCATCTTGTTGTTCTTCAGCACGGCGTTGGTGTTGTTGAGTCTGAGTCCTTTCGTGTTCGTCGTGGTCCTCACCGTTGACAAAGTCCGAGATGCGGTGACCAATGTCGGAGAGAAAATCCATGGTGTGAGATAAAAAAAGTTTGAAGATGGAGTTGGGATATGAAGAAAGAAAAAAGGATGAAGGGTGGTGAAGAAGGAAAGAAAGAAAGAAAGAAAAAAAGAGACCGAGTTTGAAATAAAAAATATGAGCAAAAAAAAAAAAAAAAAAAAAAAAGACTGGCGTTTTTTTTAGTTGTTTTAGTTGGCAGACCAAGACTTGTGTAAATGGCGCGCATTTGTCCGTTGGATGTTTGGAGCGAGATTCTACTAGACTAACAATTAGAGGACAAGGGTGGCGCGCCTCTTGAAGTAATTAATCAATTGGAATAATGTGAAGACCAACCAGAGTCCAGATTAATTGTAAGGTTAACCTATCAAACAGAAAAAAAAAAAGCCAGCACTAAATTAATGTGAAAAAAAAAAAAAAAAAAAAGGTCCATGTCTTCACATCTTCAGGCCTCGGATATTCGGACATCCTGATCTTTCTCTGCTCTTTTCTTTACTTACGACGCGATTGCGAGGATTGGTCAAACCAAAAGTTGGTTTTTTTTGCATGAATTGAACAAACACGGACACACGCGTAAGCATTCGCATGGTAACAACATGAGAGCAACAAAAAAGAGGTCCACATGGCCTTGTTCACTCATACAAAACATGCAAAACATGGACCACCTCTGTGGATTGTTATTTCATTTTCTCTTTCTCGCACACACACACACACAAACATGTCCTCTCAATAAGATCTTTTTTTTTTTTTTTTTTTTTTTGCAAAGCCTGATTACCATATTCATTAACTGATACCTGTTCAATTAATTCGATTAAAGTGTTAAAATGACAAGAGTACTGCACACGTGTTTTCGGTATTCCTTTATTTTCTCCGAGGAAAAAATAAAGCACACAGCCAACAAAGCCTTGTGATTATTTGATTTCTCACTTTCTCACATCACCATCTCTATTGAGCTGTCTCTTTGTTTCTTTCAGATTAAAAAAAAAGAAAAAAAAAAAAAAACGAGATATGTCAATCATTCTCTCCAGCTCAGGGCGCCAGGGGTATTAAGACCGTTAGTTACAAATTCATTAATGTTTCTCAGGTTTCAACACACACACACAAAAAAAAAAAAGAAGCCGTCTGATTGGTTAGTGTATCTAACAAAGAATACACAGGAAATGAGGATAAATGATCACATTCAACGAGAACATTAGACAAGACTTTTTTCTTGGGATCAAATGTGGCTGTGACTATTGAGAGAAGGAGCGAATAAAACTGGGTTTTTCTTTTTCTTTTCGAAAAGACAAAAGCTGTAGGTGTAGTATGGATAAGAAAAAAAAAAAAAAAAAAAAAAAAACTTGCATGCATTGAACACAGCACAGCTCAAAAGTAGCATAAGGTATTACAAGGCAAAGACAGTTTCTGGCATGGGATGTCAAGAAGCTTCTCCAAAAGTATATCAATTAAACAAACTATTTTTGGTTACCCACCGACAGGTACAGGCATGTCAGGTTCCCAGTCCTTCCGTTTTTTTTTTTGTCTCCCTGATTTTAATTCTTTTTCTCGGAAACTAAAACCAGGACTGGGTGGACCTGTGGTGAGAACTCGTTGTTTTGTAAACAGATCAACAGATTCAGGTTCTTACAGGAGACAGAACAAGGCCGGAGGAAATATCGAGAGTCATATTCTTGAGTGTGGCTATTTGATGCATAAAAATGAATGAAGGCATTGCAAAGATCGAGCTGTATAATCAGGGCAATATTAATTCCAGTCTGTCCAAATTGACGTATAAAGGGAAGGATGGGGTATAATGAGGATGCATAAATTGGATCTTACATCCAGCTAGCAAGTAAGATGAGGATAGATGAAAAACAGCATTAGCTCGATTCTCTGCTAGATGTGTGAATAAGATGGATGTGTATGGATTGTATGAGATAGATGTGAGGGTGAGATTATGGACTTGTGGATGTAGTGTTCAAGGATGAATGAGGATCACTCCAGCTGAAGGTTCATAATCAAGAGTAGGACTGATTCCAATGCCAGATTGGTCATCCAACTCCGCCATACTCGTGTGTCCCAATGACGCAGGTTGTGTCCCAAGCGTTTGATGTGTATCAGTTGTATATATATTCATGTATACGTAAAAAATAGGGTATAATTCTCAAAGAGACAACTGCGTGGCGCTGCAAATCTTTCAGATAATATTCCCCCCTCTTCCACATCGTGTGTGTTCCTGTCAGCAAAGCAGAAAATATCCCCATCCGACTTTTAGTCCACGCAACTCCCGGGGCAAATACTCCAGCACTCTTTGTTGTGATCTAACTGGTCAATCCTTCCTCCTTTTCATCACTAAGAAAGATTATTCTCACACGTTCAAAATACCAAACATTTCTGTCATATCACTCATTACCATCAATTATTCAAACCACATCCCTTCCCAGCGTCTACATTAGCTCTTTCCTCTCTCTTTTTTTTCTTTTTTTTTTTTAATTCATCATCCGTCTGCAATCAAGTGCCTGATCGCTCCTTCCTTTCATTCTTTTTGTTCTTTTTCTTACAAACAACATTTTCCCACCAGGTCGGAAAGAAAGAAAGAAAGAAAAAAGGGCACTGTCAACGTTGGGTTTCATTACGTTTTGGTTGTAGTATAAGCATTGTTTATATTACAGTAGTTTTTTTTTTTTTCCCGTTCCCCTTCCTTCCCCTCCACAGTCACTTACTCTTTCTCCGGTGCACCAGCCAGTTCGAACAGTAAAGAATCCTTTCATTGTTTCCCTTCTGAAACGCCTTTTCTTCTTTTCCATTCTTACTACAAACATTTTCATCGTTATCTGGCATTATCCTCTCTTTGCTCCCTTTTCTCTTTAAGTCTTTTCTCCCTTTCTTTCTCTCTCTCTTTTTTTTTTTTTTTTTTTTTTTTTTTCCTTTTCTCTTCTTCCTTGACCTCATTCTTGCGCCAGTGTTCTTTTTTATTTTTTTTTTATTTCCCATTCATTGTCGCCCTTTCTCTCTTTTCTCTTTCTCTCTCTCTCTCTCTCTCTCTCTCTCTCTCTCTCTCTCTCTCTCTCTCTCTCTCTCTCTCTCTCTCCTCCCTCCCCCTTTCCCTCTTTTCCGTAAAAGATGGCTCTCCATTCTGTCTCGACATCAATCTCTGCCTCCGTCTCTGCATCACCCTCTTCATCTCCCACCACTACCTCATCTCCAACCTTGCTCTCATCCCCTCCTTCCACTGCTACCACCACCCCTGCGGCTCACTCCTCTCCCACGGGGAAGGATTTACCAGACACTGCCTCCGCTGTGGATCCTGACACCTACAGTCACAGTATCTTTGAGGATCAGGACCTCTCTCCTACCAAGGGTATCAACATCTTGAATGGAAACCGTCGTGGTAGTAGCTTCATCCCCGGTCTCTCCACAGACGGTATCTCGGACCCTTTTGGTCTCTCAGACTATTTTAGCTCCAGTATCCCCAAAGCTGGTTTGAATAACACCAACCCCATCAATAATAACAACTCTAGCCACCTTTCAAGTAGTATCCATATCGGAAGTCTCAGCAACGGATTCAATGGCCTCAGCCTAGGCACTCAAGTCGGCTCCAGCTACAACAATAATCTCAATAACGCCACCACAAAGTCGTCCCTAAGCTCGGGTCTCTATGGTTATAACAGCAGTAACAACAGTAGTAATGCCAACTTGGCCTTCACAAACACAACTAATGCCAACACCCCTGCAGAAGAGATCTCCACCATCTTTGTTGTTGGTTTCCCAGATGACATGCAAGAACGTGAGTTCCAAAACATGTTTGTCTTCACTCCAGGCTTTGAGGCTGCCACCCTCAAGATTCCCCACAAGGACCAGCAGGAGGATGATGCCCTTACCCTCGGTGTCAACGGCGTTAATCCTCGCAAGCAAATCGTAAGTTTAAATGTTTAATACATTTTCATCATTGTCCTAATCATCCATCCATTCATGTTCATTCATTCATTTGTTTGTTGGGAATAACAAACACACGAACCATCATTGAGCTATTTATTGGCAGTCTGTTTGAATTTTATTATTCTGTCCTGATTTAGCGGTTTGGAATGAACAGGGAACTGACAAGACATTCTTTTTTTTTTTTTTTTTTTTTTTTTTTTGGTTCCAATAGATTGGTTTCGCTAAATTCCGCACTCATCAGGAGGCCCTGCAGGCCATTAGCGTGCTTAGCGGGCGTAGGGTCGATGCTGAGAAGGGCTCTCAACTGAAGGCAGAAATGGCAAAAAAGAATCTCCACACCCGTAGAGGACTCTCCAATGAGCTAGTTGCCACCCCTGGCCCAGCTATGACCTCGGCAGCCATCCCACCTGCACCCCTTGGCTCAAGCTCTATCCATCCTGTCAACATCAATGGCAAAAAGACTCCACATCCTCTACAGCACCGCAACAGTCTCGCAGGATCCGCAGCCTATGATGCTTTCCATTCAGTACCCTGCAGCCCTGCCTTACCTAGTGACCTACTCTCGCCCAACGACTATCCCAGCAGCTATGACTTTTATGCCGATGTTTACGCTCCCAGCAATCTCGCTAACCTAAGCTTTGCGGAATCCTTCGGTGGTCGTCATCAACAACAGCAGCAGCAACAGCAGTCTGAGCTCTCGTCTTCCTTTTTGGGTCGTCAAAGTGCTTATGACATTAGAGTGGATCCTTTATCCATGGGCAGCTACAGCAACAACATCGGTGGCCTTGCCGGCTCCATCCCTGGATCTTTCTCAAATTCCATCTCGAGCTCGTTCTCGAACCGCAACATGGGATTTACTGGCCCCCAACGCTTTAACAAGAGCTTTTTGGACATGGATTCGGAAACGCCTACGTCCACCATCAGTTTCCTCTCAAAGTCTATTCCTGCCCACACAGAGCGCGGATTCAACAACGGGCTCTTCAACAATGATGACATGTCCAACAACCGATTTCAGGGATTGCCTATCAACACTGCTACTGCTACAACTGCTGCCTCCTTGGCCACTCCTGTTCTACCTTCACCCAATGTTGCTTCGCCTGGTTTCCGTACACCAGTCAACCCTGGTGACCAGAATCCCCCCTGCAACACGCTCTATGTTGGAAACTTACCGATGAACACCTCTGAGGACGAGCTTCGCACAATGTTTTCGCGTTGTATGGGTTACAGACGTATGTGCTTCCGTACCAAGGCCAATGGACCCATGTGCTTTGTTGAGTTTGAGAACGTCGAGTATGCAACCCAGGCGTTGAACGATCTTTATGGCAACCCATTGAGCAACTCTGTGAAAGGCGGTATTCGTCTAAGCTTTTCAAAGAATCCTTTGGGTGTCCGCAATTCACAGCCTAGCAGCCTTGCCAATCAGCTGCACATGAACAATAATGGAACAGCACCTTATCTGGATCGACGTGACAGTATGAGTGCCATGTTTGATCAACACTACTAAGGATTTTTTTCCTTCCACCCATCTTTTTTTTTTTTTTTTTTTTTCCCCTTCTCTACTTTATTTTCTTTTCATCTTTTCATTTTGCATATCTTTTTTTTTTTTTTTCTTCTTCTTCTTTTTGCCTCTTTCTCCTTTATGGCATTGCAAATTGTTGAAAAATGAGCGCAACTAGTCCTCTTTATCCTACCCCGCTCTTATTTTCATTCATCCTTCAATCAGTCCCATAATATATCCCAGGGTGAATGCCTGTGGCTTTGCCTTGACCACGCATCTATCCCAATTTTGCATTTATAAAGGTCTACGTATTTTCTCCTCTCTTTGAAGCATAAGCATAGCATTTTATCCTTTTTTTTTTTTTTTTTTGTTTTCTTAAATATTTCATAGCATTCATTACATCTTCTTTCTTTTTATTTTTTTATTTCATTTTCAGATATGAATACATTCATTAAAAAAAGACTTTTTTTTTGGTATGATTTGCGAGAAAGAATGTTGGGTTTTATTTGATCCGCAAGATCTGAAGAAATGCTACGCTTTAAAAATGCAACAGCGAAGTAACCTTGGCCTTTGGCCTTGATTTTAATCTTGACCTTCTGTCATCATCCTATCACTACTAGATTCGGTTGGGTAGATTAAGCTTTTTCCATTTGGTCATTGCCATCACTCTATTTCGGAATTAGATAGACTCATTGTCTCTTTGATCCAGATCAAACTCTCTTGGTAATATCCAAATAATTATTACTTCTACTTTATATATTTTTTACTGCTGCAACTGCTTCATCACTGTCATCATTATCATTACCATCACCTTCACCATCATCATTCCCTTCTTTTTCTGTATCCATATCTGAAAGGATAAAAACAGTTGGAAGCATGTAAAGTCAACTATGCTTTATCCAAAAAAAAAAAAAAAAAAAAAGTTTTTTTTATACTCATATCTCAAGAAAGGTTAACATTCATGCTAAAGAGGATGATATGAATATCCTGTATTCCTATTGAGTTTAATGAAGATGGCTATTGCTATTAAGCAAATCAGGCGCAACTTTATCAATTTGACGCCGAACGACTGATTGAATGTAAATGGCTCTTGCATCTGGTTCCATATTTAACAACGTTTCGTAGAGTGCTGAAGTAACAGAGGTCTTAGGTTTATGAGATGATGGTGATGATGTAACTCCAGCTCCAGTTCCAGTTCCAATTCCAGTTCCAGAAGAATCCAGAGTCGAAGCATTTCTCTCGAGTCTTTCATGAAGAGATTTAAATCGTTGATAAAGTGTTTCGATATTGTCACGAACAAATATGAGCGTCTGAGGCACTGGTGTTACTATTAAAAAAAAAAAAAAAAAAAAAAAAAAAAAAAAAAATTAGCGTCAGTCAGTAGATGAAGAAGAGGGATCGAAACAACAACTTCGAAATAGTCTTTTTTTTTTTTTTTTTTTTTTTTTTTTTCTTTACCATCTTGATATGAATTTATGGCATCTTTCAAAAACTGTATTTGGTCTCTACAGACCTGTAATTGCCGCCGTTGTTTTTCTTCAATCTCTAGCCTTTTTCTCAATTTGTAGTTTAACGCTTTGGCCTATGAAGGAAACGAATACAGATCGATATAGATGTTGGGAATTGAGAGGTGATAATAATAACAGTAATAAAATCAAAAAATGATTTGATCAACTTGGTGTCAATTTTTTTTTTTTTTTTTTTTTTTTTTTACCGCAATAATTTTTTGGCGCAAGATCTCAAGTTCTCTATCCAGTTGTAGTTCCCGTTCGGCTGTTATTCCAAAATCTAGTGCTTCATAATGTGGTAGAACAATATCTACGTTCTCAGGTATAGCAAAAATGTTATTAAGTGCATAGAGTTCGAATCGGTCAAAATTCTTGTCCACTGAAGCTTCTAGTAGTGTTTCAAACTTGTGCATGCACTTATGACACGAGGAAAAAGAAGCAGGAATGAAAAAAAAAAAAAAAAAAAAAAAAAAAAAAAAAAAAAAAGGAGGTGAGAATGAATACCAGGAGACAGCAACCTCCTCTCGTCTGCAAGGATGCAAACAAGCTTTTTTTTTTTCTTTTTTTCCTTTCACCTTGGCAGTCTCGATTTCGACATCAAAATCTTCGTGAGGTGGTCCTTTATGAGCTATAATCTCTGTCATTTCATGTTTGATAAACTCCTCTACAGCCATAGAGGCTTGGTAGATCATATTATTGACAGAGTTGATGATATCGTCCACAAAAGAAATGGGGGTGAATCCAAAGTGTTCTGTCAAAAGTTGTTGATTATGATCATGGCGTGCTTTCTTTAAACTTTCTTCGTCTACTTTTTGGAGTTGTTGTAGTTGCTGCTGCTGCTGCTGTTGTTGTTGTTGTTGGAGCTGTAGTTGTTGCTGCTGTTGTTTCCGAGGAAAGGGAAGATGCATCGGAGGCAAGGAGAAAGGAAAAGTAGAAGAAGTCATGGTTGGTCCTCGAGTCAATTGTCCTGGTCCTCTCAATTGGGATTCCACTGTCCCATGTTCATTTCGAGGATTTCGTATTGATGCATTATGAGCTATTGTTGAGGATGTTGTTGTTGTTGTACGTACTTGTTGTTCTATTCCTGTTCCTCTCACTGTTGGTGCTGCTCTGCGTTGCGACATTTTATAGTTGTAAAGAATGTGTGTCTTGTATTTTTTTTTTTTTTTACAGATGTTTATTATTATGTATTATAAAATAAAGAAAAGAAAAGAAACGCGACCTCGTGGAACAAAAAAAAGCCCAAAAAAAGGAAATTTCGCCACCAATTGATCTAATTGACCGTTTTTTTTTTTTTTTTTTTTTGACTGCTTCACAATCCAGGCACGAGCATTTTTTTTTTTTTTTTTTTTTTTTTTTTTTCTTCTTCTTCTCTATTAGAAGTTGCACTGTTCATTCATAAAGACACATTACTTCCCTCTTCTTTCATTTAACACCTTACCATGATCCGAATCGCATTGCTGGCTCGTGGACAGTCTCAGTCACAATTACAGGGACGCCGCTGCCTAACTCTATCCTACTGCTCCTTTCCTCCTCCTTCTTCTTCATTCTTTCCTTCTCTTAACCTTCCATCATTACAATGCAATCGTGCATTCTCAACTTCATACAAGTCATTTTCTTCTTCTTCTCCTTCTTCCAAAAGTACGGTACAGTCCAACAGACCATTTAGGCTTGCAGTGATTGGCAGTGGCCCTGGAGGATTTTATACGGCACACCGGGTCTTGAAGAATATTCCTGAAGCAAAAGTCGATATGTTTGAAGCCCTTCCAGTTCCTCATGGTCTTGTTCGATTTGGTGTTGCACCCGATCACCCTGAGGTCAAGGTAAACAAATGATTATGCTCCTTTAATTTAATGTTCTCGCACCATCATTCATTCATACAGACTATCCTGTGACAGATCGAATCCCTTTTGTATTTAACAGTTGCTGCACAATGCTTGCTTTTTGCTTTTTTCTTACTTTTTTTTTTTTTTTAAAATTTTTAAATTTTTAAAGAATGTGATGAGCACGTTTGATGAAGTAGCTCAGAACCCCAACTTTACATTTATTGGAAATACATCCGTGGGAACATTTATCAGCCCCTGTTCCAAGAAGGCGGATCTGGAGATCTCGGACCTTCGACCTCATTACGATGCTATCCTTCTGGCCTATGGCGCTCATGAAGATCGTCTCCTGGGGGTGCCTAATGAACAGTCTCTTAAAGGGGTCATGGCAGCTCGATCTTTTGTTGGATTTTATAACGGTCTTCCGAATGAACAACATTTAGAATCAGATCTGGATCTTTTAATATCTCGATCTGAAACTGCAGTCGTGCTCGGTCAAGGCAACGTGGCTTTGGATGTCGCTCGGATCCTTTTGACTCCGCTGGAAGACCTTAAAAAGACCGATCTAACTGACAAGATGATCAAAATTCTGGAAAAGAATCGGATCAAACATGTCTATGTGGTCGGCCGTCGTGGACCTCTCGAGGTCGCTTTCACATCAAAGGAGTTTAGAGAGATGTTGCATTTACCTGATACAACTTTCCATATGGATCAAGCTTTATTGACCTCAGAGTTGGAGCGAGCTGGGAAAACATTGGATCGACCTCGGAAGCGGTTGATGGGATTATTGGAAAAGGGAATCAAGGAATCCAAACCAAATCAACCCAAATCCTGGTCTCTTTTATTCCTGCGCAGTCCCCTGGGTTTCCAAGGGGATGAACATGGCCAGTTGACTTCGATTGAATTGGGTATCAATCGTTTAGAGGGAGAAGAGCATAATCGTAAAGCCGTACCAACGGGTGAAACAGAGACCTTGAAATGTGATTTGGCTTTCCGGAGCATTGGTTATAAGAGTTTGGGCATCCAAGGTGTACCCTTTGATAGTCGGAAAGGGATCATACCGAATGTTGACGGCAAAGTTGTGGATGCGGATCAAATTGTTGTAAGTGTAAAAAAAGAAAAAAGAATATTAGTTTGATTTTTTTTTTTTTTTTTTTTTTTTTTGATCAAATATCCATTTTTTTTTTTTTTTTTTTTTTTTTTTCCTAGGTCCCTGGTTTTTATGCGGCAGGCTGGCTCAAGCGTGGACCTATTGGAGTGATTGCTTCCACGATGGCAGATGCATATCAAACAGGGGACACTATTATTGCTGACTGGACTAGTGGCCAACCCATGCTGAACAACAATAGCAGCAGCAGCAATAACAACAACAACAACAACAATCAAAGTAACCCAGTGTTGGATCTACTCCGTTCTAAGGGTCACAAGACTGTCTCTTATGACGACTGGAAGAAGATTGAGCAAAAGGAGTTTGAATTAGGTGGCAAGGTTGGTAAGCCTAGAGAAAAGTTTTTGACAGTGGAGGAGATGCTCAAAGTGCTTGATTGAAAGAAAAAAAAAAAAAAAAAAAAAAAGCAAATCCATAGAGCTATAGACATATAAGAGCATAAGAATACAACAAAAATTGCATAGTAAAAAAAAACTTTATTCTAATGATTCGGCTGAGATAGTTCGGGAAGCGGCTTTGCGCAGTCGATTCATGACTGCAAGACCTTCATCCTCTTCACTGATCCCCTCAACGAAAATACAGTCCACATGTTGATCATCCAAGTAACGAAGCCCTCTAAACAACTCTCGTGCCACATCCTCTGGTTTTGATCCCTGACCCAACGGAAACTCAATAATCGTCGCTTCGTTCTCTGAAGTTGATCTTTTGGTTTCTAGACCATGGCTTTGTTGGTCCTCCTTATCCTTTCTGATGAGCATGCCAGCCTTCATTGCTGTCGTTGTTGGTGGTGATGGCAATGGTACTGTAAAAGACGTCCGCAGGATACCGAAACGTTTCTTGCCATGTTGCTTCAATCTCTCAATTTCCTTCATAATCAAGTTGTATTGTCCTGTTGTTGATTCTAATGACGAGGATGACAATGGTGGTAATGATGATATCGGTGATGACTGTGATGAAAAGTGTAATGATGAATGTGGAGATGATGACGATAGTGATGGTTGATGTGTTGTGTCAGACACCCGGTTTGATCTTGATCCATTCATTTCAGTGTCCTTGATTTGACCAAGAGGAAGAGAAGAGGGCCTGATATATTCCACCAGGACCACTTCAGCTTCTGGTGAATAATGTCGATACTTCATGCCTGGTGTCGTTGGAGCCTGCTCCATTGCTACGTCTGTAAAATGTTTCTTATAAACCTGGACACCTTCCATTTTTGAGACTTGTTTGATCTGCTCAAATGTTACCCCGCCAGGTCTCAAAATCGCTGGTGGGACTCTCAATCCATCTACAACAGTGGATTCGATTCCAAAGCTACATTGCCCTCCATCAATCACCATGGGTATTTTAGTCTGCAAGTCGTCCATCACATGAGAGGCCAAAGTAGGCGATGGCTTTCCTGAAGAATTAGCAGAAGGTGCTGCTAAGGGTCTATCACAGATCGTGATCAGCGCACGCGTGATCGGATGAGAAGGAAATCGAACCGCAACAGTGGCTTGACCACATGTGATTTCATTTGGGATCAAATTGGACCTTGGGAACAATAAAGTTAAAGGCCCCGGCCAATATGTTTGGATCAGATCTGAATACACTGCAGGGATCTCATTGTTTTTGAGGATAGATCGAAGCATTTTAAGAGAGGAGACATGGACAATCAGAGGATTATCCTGAGGTCGATTCTTGGCTTTGAAGATACGTTGTGCAGCCACTGAATCCAATGCGTTGGCTGCGAGACCATAAACGGTTTCTGTAGGCATTCCCACGACTTGACCCTCTCTAAGGAACTGAGCGGCTTGCTCAAGCACTTGACGGGTATGAGGTTGAGAGATCTCTGGAATGGGATCCTCAAGATCCTTTGAAAGGTATATGATGGTTGTAGGATCAATCGTTTCCAGAATAGTAACAAAGGATTCCTCTGCCTTTGATCCTGCCTCTGTCCCTGTCCCTATATCTACTCCTGTCCCTGCTACTGCCGCTACTATATCCACAGCTGATATCGCTGGACTACTATGGGTTTTATCGGGTAACATGTTGATAGGATTAAAAGCGGGAGAAGTGGCTGTGCGCCTGTAGGACAAGGTAGTATGAGAAGATCGAGTCAGGCTGCGAATGAACGACAGTCGCACTTGGTGGAGCATGCAATAGTTATACTTGAAGATAATTCTTTTCTTGTTGAACAGATTAGAGATTAGTAAATTGAATGACAAGGTGTCGCAGAAACTCATTCCTCTCATTTTAAACGGGCGCAAAAAAAAAAAAAAAAAAAAAAAAAAAGCTGAGCCACCAAAAGCTATGACACACAACAGATACAATGATTTACCGCAGCACAAATGATCAAAAGCATGAGCTGTACATTGGCGTATGACAGACGTGTAAAAAAAAAAAAAAAAAAAAAAAAAAAAAAATAGAAAAAAAAAAAAGAAAAGAAAAGAAAAGAAAAGAAAAGAAAAGGAAAAAAAAAATCTACAAGAGGAACCTCTAGAATGTCAAAATGGGGGAATAAAATTTAATTTTCGAAAGCCTGGACTTCCACCAAGTTGGGCGTCTTTGGCTTCACGTATGTGGGGATGATATGCAAGATCTTGGGCGACATGGCGAATCCACGCTGGCTAAGAGCCCGTTTCCACAATGGAGCATCCGTTTCATTGATACTGATCTTGATCCATTCGGTTCCAAACTCGGACACAAAGTCTGCCAAGTCGTTGCTTCGCTCTGATCCATCCCAACGCACATCTAGAACAATAGACATAGTCTTCAGGGTCGATTGACAGCGTCTCAGGATCAATCGTAGATCGTACAGCATATCTGCACTAAGACTTGAGCTCTTGATATCCACCGCTCGAAGAGCTAATTTCTCAACATGAAGAGCTACCTCAAAGTACTGCTTAAGAACCTCGCCTTCAATCCTAAGCTTTGATAGCTTTGTACCATAGAGCTTAAGAAGCGCTTCAGAGGCTTCCCGAGGCATATTAATCGTCATCAGCTGCAAATCCACCGTGTTTTCGTCCTGCAAGTCGGGGATGTACAGTTGATTTTTACCTCCATACAATCTCAATGATGTCAGACTACATGAGCCTTCCTCCGCCATAGCACTCTTAACGATCGTAAGCCACCACAAAAACTCCTGTGCTTGACACTGAATTGCAAGCTTGACTAGCTTAGGATTTCTACTAAGGATGTTCATCAAGAAGTGTGGATCTAGCTCCACTCTCAAAAGGAGATCCAGACGAAGGTGAAGCGAACGGAAGCATTCAATTTCTTTCAAGAATCGACTCGTCGTGTTGTTGATGATCAGATCGAATGTGACGGGGACTCCATTCTCAAATCGTGCCACCAATTTGTTGGATTCAAATCCGTCAATGACCAACTGTTCCAGTGAACAAGACTCATGAAGGTTAACCTTTTTGATTGCTGTGAACGCATCCTCCATGTCGAGACAACTCAAGCGCAGTTCTTTCAGGCGAGGACTGGACCCAATAAGCCCAGTTACTCTGGGACCTTCCTTCTTCCAGTTGATACGTTCACTCACTCTCAAAACACGCAGATTATTAGTTCGGATAGGAACAGTTACTTTGGAGAAAAATCCTGGATAGTCACTGAGAAGGAAAGACTGTAGCCTTGTCTTCATGATAATTTCCCAGAGAGGATCCGCTCTCTTGTTACGGTTCAGATAATCGGACGTTGATGTGGACGGTTTGCATGTCAGATCTAAGCAAGCAATATCCGATCTGCTAATGGCATCACGCAATGCTTTGACATCGCTCATGGAAACATCCCATTTGAGAGTAACTTTGAGATCCTGGATCAGTTTGCCTCGTTCCATGAGTTTATAAAACAAATTGGCGATAGTTGAGGACGAGAGAGCAACCTCCACTCGACCAAGGTGCTCATGATACTTGCCATCATTAACAGAAATGACCTGTGTCAGCTCCTTGATCGCCATCACCCCGTATGCCTCACGATAATGGTCTTCACATATCCATCGAGCCGTTCCATCCCTTGTCATGTATCTATAAAGGTCTCCCAGTAGTTGATTTGGGTCCATGATCTTCAAATAGAGTCCTAGTTGTTGCAAATCCGTGTTACTCAACAAGCCAAGCTCTCGAAGGAGTTGAGGCGATAACCGAGCATAGGCAGCATTTCCTTGAGAGAATTGAAGTGCTGGTCCATTGGGCAGGAGAGGTTCCTGTGAATGCATTGAGTTACGACTATAAGGAATATCATTTGAGTGAATGGAAGATGCACGGTCATTGAAACTGAATTCACTTTCAACCATCGAAAAACGTGAGGGCAAGGCGATCTCTCTCGAGATTTGAGGTGAGGTTGGATGACTGATAGTGCTGCCGCCGCCGTTGATGGAAATCTCGTGGGAATATTGAAATGATGGCCTCGGTGATGCAAAATTCGGGATAATGCCTGGTGCCAATGGTAGCTGTTCAAACATTCCTTTTGAAGACATACATTCCAGAAATTCCATTGCCATGTCCACCCCACTTTCAAAGGTATACGGACGATTACGTGTTGAAAATTTGTCGTCCTCGGGTTCCGAAGGGGTTAATGCTGGGACTGTGAATCCTGCGACTGCCACGCCGTACTTGATCATGTGCAAGAGCGTTAACAAATATGATCCATAATATTTGAAAAATTCCTCTGGGTCATCAATGTCATAGCCCTCATGTTTTGCCAAATGGATATGGTGGGGGATCTTGGTGCCCTGAATTGACTTTGTGTGTTCACCACATTCACATAAGAAATGTACTCGAAATTCATTATGCAAGATGTTGACAGAGTCCCATTGACCTCCATGTTTCGGAAGGATGATAAAAAGTCGTGGGATGGGATATTCCAATAGAGCATAGCTCTGAACAAGAATAGCCTGAACTCGAGTTTGAATAGCTGTCAACTTGTCGATTGCTTGTTGTTGTAACTCGAGCATGGACTGCTGCATTTCCATCATCTGTTGCTGTAAAGCCTGATTCCTCGACATCTCTCCCTCAAGGGTATAAAACTGTTCCCTAAAGTCGTCTTGATACATGCTGGCTAGATTAGTTCGTCCAAGTTGAATCGATTGCATAAAGTTTTCGTACAAGTAGACTGAAGATCTATATCGGTTCTTGGCTTCATCTGATATTGACCATGTCGACAATAAGGAATCTCGAGGGCTACGATCGTTTTCCTCGGCTGGTTCTAACGTGAAGGCAGCGATATAAGATCCATGTTTTGAAACTGAAGCTGAATGAGCACTGCGTGTAGATGGAGGCGGGGAAGGAAAATCATCGGGATTCTGAAGACTCGAAGCACGGGACAAGATGACCTGAATCACAGACTCTGGTTGGTACTCAATCCTCAGTGGTAACAATCTATAGTTGTAAGCCAAACGATTTTGCGTACAATTTTTTGAAGTTAGTACAACTGAAATTCTTGGCCTCATTCGAAGTATTCTTTTTTTTCTTTTTTCTTTTTTTCTTTTTTTCTTTTTTTTTTTTTACCTATTGCCATTTTCATCGACCATAAAACTGATGATACGCCTGCCACATTGGAGACGGGAGGCCAAAGGAAAGACATCTTTGATATCGTCCCACATCACAAAGGGTCTTCCTTGAGTGAGAGCCGTCCCTGGAATGACTCTGACCTCGAACGTCTCTGAGCCAGAAACGAATTCCTGGTACTCAAAACTTCCTCCTACAGTCATGGTTTAGGTTTGTTTGTGATATGTTATGGAAGAGATAAACAAATGGATGATAAGGTTGGGAAGGGGAAGAAGGAAGAAGAAAGAGCCAAGAAAAAAAAAAAAAAAAAAAAAAAAATGAAGAGGTGAGAATAGTAAAATGAATAAGAAAGGACGTCGAGAGAATGAAAGAGCAGGGATAGGAAGAGAGGGCGAGAGAGCAAGAGCGAGAGAGAGTGAAAAGAAAAGAGAGAGGAAATGGAGAGGGGGAGTTGTAGAATAGGAGGAAAAAAAAAAAAAAAAAAAAAAAAAAGTCCTGTGTGGATGGAAGGTGATGTGTCTGTGTGTAGAGAGGAGAAAAAAGATTTGAGAGCGAGAAACAGATTCTTGACAGACTAAACTGAGCACTGAAAAGATTAAACGCAAAAATACAAAAAATACAAAAAATACAAAACACAAAATACAAAAGTAACAGCATCCGATGACTTTTCCTCTCTTTTGGTTGGGCCAACTTTTTTGTTTTTTTCTTCCTTGCATCGTTAATCACCGCTACGCCAATGCATGTGGACAAGTCTGTTTTGTGTGGAACATTTGATCTTTTTTGTTGAACTGGGTTTTCTATTTCTTCTCCTTCCTGTCTTTCTTTACTTGCCTTTGCTCACAAACATATTCTTGCTTATCCACACACACACACGACATGAACAAAAATAACTGTGCTTCCTTCTTTTGAAATTGTGCAACCCAACATTTGTCCTTTGCTGTAACCTACTTTTTTTTTTTTTTTTTTTTTTTTTACTTTAACCTTCTATCCCACAGGTACCCATTACCTGGGTTTTTTCTCTGTTGTTGTTGTTGTCATCCCTATCCTTTTCTTCTTTCCCAGAGGTCTGAGCAAAGAGAATGTATGCATTGCCATTGTTTATCCTTTCGTACCCTTCAAAGAAAGCATCTTTCGGGGGAGTACAGTAGACATGCGCACGGATAGGGAGGGAAAAAAAGGGGAGTGTTGTAAGACATGTCTACTTTTTGAGGCGGGAAATTAATCAAGAACTCGTGGGGGTGCCCCTTATTTAAAACGATCATCATTTCTAATTGACTAAATGTTATCAGATAGTTTTTATTCAACAACATTTCCAAGCATCTATGAACTTTGAGAGTAGGTCAAATAAAAAGATAAAAGATAAAAAAAAAAAAAAAAAAAAAAAAAAAAAGAATCAGCTATGATTGCCACCCCCTATCGTTTTAAGAAAACTTTTGTGCAAACTGTCTAACTTTTTAGACTGACTCTGTGGAACAGCTCCATGTCTCTCTTCTGTTTTTGGGAGCCGTGACGAGGATGGCGAAAGTATTTTAAAGACATCATCAGGAACGAAAAAGCCTCGACGGCTGAAGGCCATCTTCCAAGCATCCACTGTCGGGGAGCTGACCATTATTTCGGTCCAGCATGGTCCAAACTCAACAATGAAATTGGCGAGCTCGGTATCAGCCTTGCTACCCTCCCATGCTGAGTAAACCACGATGGAGAGATGTGATAAGCTTGAGCGGCAGCATTCTATAATCGACTTTAGATCTCTCAGTATAAGTGGCGTGAGCAATGGACAAGCGATGTCTAGCCGGCTAAGAATTGACTTTGTATGCCGCATCGTCAAGCTCAATAACGATAAACTCTTGGAAGCGTCTCCCTCAACTCGGAATTTCGTCAACCTGGAGCCATAAACTCGTAATAATGAATTAAGAATATCCGACGGGACACCAGGCGACATCAGCTCCAACTTGACAGAGATTTTGTTTTGAATATTAGTGGCGTGGAGTAAATTTCGATTACAATACAGAGTAAGCGTATTGAGTTCACACCGCTTGCTCGTCGTAGCCGTCTCCTGAATGATCGTCAGCGACCTTAGGAAATCTGATACCGGACAGAAGATCATTAGTTTGTTAAGAATGGGGTTTCTACGCACAAGGCCTTCTACGAGGCTCGGATCCATCTCTGTAACTGTCAAGGGCCGTAAATGGAGAATCTGAAGGCCTTTGGCACCAAGTAGCAGAGGGCTGGATATATCTGAAGCTAATAAATCCATAAAGGTTGGCTCGCCATCACGAAATTTTGCGAGCATACCACTTGTGGCTCCATTATCGAGCGCAAGATGCTCGAGCGGACAAAATCCAGTGGTTGTCCTCCTGATCGCAGCATATGCATCATCCACGTTCGTACACCCAAGGTGAAGCTCATTAAGCCGAGGACATAGACGAAGAAAATCAACGACTCTACTGCCATCTTTTTTCCAATCTACACGCTCGGATATCCTAAGAACTCTGAGATGTGTTGTCGCCGCTGGAACGCTCACTCGGGAAAAAAATCCAACATACTCTGTCAATGTAAATGATTGGAGCCTTGGACTTTCTATTGTCTGCCATAGGGGGTCCGACCTTTTGTTGCGGTTCAGGATGTCTGAGGCGGCGTTGGATGCTGAGCATGCTAGTTCCAAGCAAACCACACGGGACTTTGATATGACATCCCGCAGCGACTTTAGATCACTCATGGAAACATCCCATGTCATCCTGACTTTTACTTCCTGTATAAATTTGCCTCGCTCGATTGCTTTGTAAAAATGTAGTGCAGCCCCAGGAGAAGCAAGAGTAACATCTATGCGTCCTAGATGGTCGTCAAACTCCCCAGAATGGACGTCCAGAATCTCCCTGATCTCCTTGATCGCACTAGCAGTATATCTGTCGTGATAGTGGTCCCGACAGACCCATTTGACATGTCCCTCCCTTGTTATGATACGATGGAGGTTTCCTACACGTCCATGAGCTTCTTTACCCTTCAAATATGCCCCTAGTTCCTTGAGATCTACCACTTGTGAATCATCCAACCCATCTTTTTGTTGCTGTTTCGTGGGTCCATTGGATATGATAGAGAAATATCCGTTAGCGGACAAATTTTCCAAGACCTCAATTGCATGGTTTACAAGAGGCTCAAGTTTTCGTGAAGGTTGTTGGGTCCTACTAGTTGGTTCTATACTCGCTTGAGGTGACAATGGTAGAGCTGTGAATCCTGCCACCGATATCCCATATTTCATCATATGTAAAAGACTAAGAATGTGAGCGCCATAATGCCGGAAAAACTCTGCTGGGTTCTCGATGTCGTATCCTTCATGCCGCACTAAATGAATGTGATGAGGAATCTTGCTGCCTTTGTGTGGGGTCGTGTGGTTGCCGCATTCGCAAAGGAAGTATAGCCGAAACGTTTCGCTGTGTGTGAGATCCTCAAATCTTTGCTGAGAGCCTACAAGGGTTGTACCACCAACACTACTACTTGAACTGCTTCCAATGGTGCTGCTATTGTTTGGCAATACGATGAACAACCTTGGAATACGAGAGCTTCGCCAGGTTCCATTTTGACTAAGGATCGTTTGAACCTGACTCCGGATATGAGCTAGGCGGTCAAGAGCACGCTGCTGCATTTGGAATATGGATTGCCTCATTTCATCTGTCTGTTGTTGTAGCTCACGGCGCTTGAGCATTTCTGCCTTCAGTAATTGGCGCTGTTCTATAGAATTCTTAGCACGCATATTTGCCTGGGGCATAGGGTTGCTTTGAATGGCGCGAGGATGATACTCGGAAGCAAAGGTCGAGACCTGAGACTCTGTAGTAGGTTCCGACGAGTAAGAGGATGTGGACATGTTGGAGTGGCTCCTGGTCTCGATGTCGCTCATGTGTGACTCGTCTGAGATATAATAGGGTGTTGCGGGAGTATGTGTGTCCAGTAGAGGATCTGGGAGACTGCTTCGATCAAAAATAATTTCAATGGTTGACCCAGGCTGATGTTCTATCCGAAGGGGTAATAGACTGCCATTTCAATTTGAAAACAAACGTCGCAAATGTGGTGTCAGTGTCAGGATAATTTTTTCTTTTGGTTTTTCATGGACACAAAGCTCCCCGACCTGTCAACTTTTACCTTTTGCCCTCAGCATCTGTCATAAAATCAAGTGTCTGTTTCTCACGCTGAAGATGGGCGGTTGGAGGAGCCTTTTGCTTGATATCATCCCATAAAACGAATGGTTTGCCCTCAGTTTCATCATCCCCCAGAATAACAGGGATCTCAAATGACTCTAAACCCCATTGAAACGTTTGTCGTTTAGAATTCATTGTAGTGGTTTGTGCGAGTAAAAAAAAAGAGAGGGAGAGAGAGGATGGCGGAGGAAGCACAGGACCAAGCGCTGGAGGACAAAATGTGATTGTTTATGTTGTTGAGGGGATCATCAAGAGAGCGAAAAGGGCAAAACAGAGTGACACGCCACATGTTTTTATAGAGTTGTCCAACATGTGCCGCCCTTTTGAATGTTTACCTTTCTTGATGCTCCCAATGCACTCTATTAAATATAAATATATATTTATTATACATCTCTTTTTTTGGTGCTGTTGTCGAATCAACCACTCATCCATGTAATAAGAGCATCTGGTGAAGTGGATATCTGCTCTCAAAGATGTATGGAGGGATTGAGCTGATCCGGTGCACAAACATGACATAAAAACATGAACCATCAACAATGTTTATCACAATCAGCCAGCAGCTCTCTCTTTCAATCTGCTCTGCTGTGCAACCTAAACTATTGAGAACAGGAAGTTCGTTTTGCTCACCAAAAGAAGAGAGAGACAGAAAGCGAAGATGTTGAAGTGGTTGGGCCGCTTTGCATTGTTTGAGATTGTTTACATGTACAGGCGGACATGAATTGGTTGTGAGACAAAAAGTGGGAACGAGGGATGCTTTGTGTTCTTTACCCTCGAACAAGTTTTTGGTGCCGTTCAGGTTATTTTGTAGGACCCTGTTTTATTTTTGAAACTTATTCCACTTTTTCTTATCTCTATCCATTTTAAATCTCAATCATCTCTCGATAAACCAAAAGTATAGTCTACATGTCGTCAGTTAATGCTGTTGTACGGCCCAAGTTCCCTTTTCTGGAGCACAGCAATGGCAACAACGGTAGCAGTAGCACGCATGCTCCACCATTACTCACAAGGACTGGTCGAGGTTGAAGATTGATGAGTTATGAGTTGTGATCATCATGCAATAAAATGAGCCGAGGTATACTGACATGAGTACAAAATTAGCCCGATCACTTTCAACCACCTTCGCACATTTGTATACCCATACTCTCGCGCCTTTTTCTTTATTGAACACAATCAACACATTTGACATCCAATGTGTCACACTTTCATTCAAATTTCAACAATATTCATGTGGTAACTGAAACAACATTGCTAATAAATAAATGGACAAAAAAAAAAAAAAATGTGCCTTGGCCCACTACTTTTTTCATTTTTCTCATTTCGAGGTCAAGACAGGCAAAACCATAAAAAAAAAAGGTAATGCATTAGTTGCATTAGTGGCACCAATGTGAGCCCATAAAAAAAATTGTCTGCTAAAAAGTTATCGAGACGCCAATGTGTGAAGCAATCTAACATTTAGGCTTAATCAAATTCGAACACTAGTCGTTGAGTTGGCCAATGGCATTTATGATAGATATAAAGCGAATAAATTTTATCCTCCCAGCATTTAGGTAGAAAAAAAATGAATAGCTTTTCATCCGTCTTGATGATGGAGGTACGTTAGTTGTTTCATGCAGCAAAGATTTTTTTTTTTTTTTTCCCCTTCCTGCATAGTCAGTTTGTCAAGTAAGAATTCATATTCTTCAGGCACACAGCCACCTCCTGTCATGCTGCTGTCCATCTATCGCCGGTCATTAAACTATTAACACGACTTTGAGGTTCTTAATGGTTATCTAGGCTACCGATCTTCTATTGTCACGGGTCAAAGAAGGCAGTACTAGCGTTAACCATCGGTGCATTCTTAATCACCGAATTTGTATCAAAGAACCCAACCAGGTTTTGCACGGTTTATTTTTTTATGCAAATGAGGTTATTTGCCCTCAAAACGTGTCTCATCCTTTATTTATTTGAAAAAATTCTTTCTTTCTTTATTCCATTCATGATTGTATATTGTTCAACTTCTTCATTAGGCCCACTGTCCATTCATTTGCTATTTTGAGTTCAAGCGTCGCCAGTAGGCTGGTTACAGCCTCGTTCATTATTAATTGATAAACACAGGAAATCGTACCTTGTTATTATGAAGATGATTGCCTGCATATGTCGGGTAGATCTGGTGGGGGAAAAATTAGTTATGAGGTATAACGGCAATATTAGAGGCATTCATTATTCGCCTGATGGAATTTGCACTGCTTCAATTGCGATTAATAAGGCATATTGATGGAATATGCAATCAGAGAAGTCATCCATACTTTTGTAGGGTTTCCTGGCATAATCATGGATCTAAATTCACCAAATTGTGAACAAGATGGTCGCGTAACAGAGTTGGAACAGAACAGTGTGATTTACTGTGCCTAAGCAACACTCTACCAAAAATACTCTGAACTAAACCATTTGAAGTGTCCAAACTGCAATTGGTTTTTCGTTGTTCCTATTGGTAACCATGTTGATTTTCAACGGCAGACGAGCCGTGTTGAGGATGGGACTGACCGTATGGAACAATATGTACTGAGGAATAACCTGAACGCGGCATTTACTGGAAAATATCCTCGGGAAGACGACGGACAATGCGAATTGAGATGATCGGATTGGAACTGTACAAGCAACAGCAAAAGTATCTGATAGATCGATTAAAAGGCAACCAGTTTAAATACAGAAGATGCAACGAAGGCATTTTTATACATCTCATTTTATACAGATCGCCCGACGACTAAAGGGATCAATAAACAACATAGCATTGGAGATTAAGGATTGGAAGGATACTTATTGATGATTAATTATAATAAAAAAGTGAATAGCTTTACACGCGTCTTTTGTATCAACTGCACTACAACCAGAATTAGGTCTGATAAAGTTGCTGTTTCACGAGACATGAAAAGACATGGCAATCTTACATGCGTGCATGCAAGCTCATTCTCATCACAATCCCCATTGCATTACTTTTTCTAGGTTCAAATCTCTGAATTATATATATAAGGGACATGCAAACACCCCTAGAGCTCACAAAAAAAACAGTATCCCACTCACCATTAACAAAGAATCCTTTTACACGATTTTTCTTTCAAGGACGTGGGTAGAACACCATCTAAGGGCAAAAAGAAAACAATAATCCATGTTTGGTACCCCATCACGAAGCGCACTCTTGCCAGCACAGGCTCTGAGGCTTTTCGATTTCTACATGAAGGGTGCTCGCACCATAGACGACGACAACAGCATAGTGATGGAGCATGACATTGCACCAAGGTATTGTTTCAGCCTACTGTGAGCTTGCTCGCTTATTTGAACAGCTGGGTCATTTAGATGAAGCCCGAAAACGCAGCAAGAAAGCTGAGACATTGGGATATATCCAAGAGAGCAGCAACAATGACAGCAGCAGAAGATCGAATAAAGTGTTTAAAGCAGTATCATCACAGACCATTGCAACTATCTCAAAGGACATATTCAGTCACAATGAGCCTCCAATAATCATCAGACACAGTCTACCAGATGCTGGTACTCATCTGAATGATATCTACCAGCTTGTGTACTGTCTTGGTCTGCTTCCTACTGCTCCTATCCCAGCAAATGATCTCACTGACCACGAAAATGAATGGCGCCAAGCCATATTAAACCATCAAGATGAGTATGAGCGACCCCATAAACTGGCGTCGGATGTAATTGAAATGTTCATCAGTGAAGAGATCAAGACCGAGGCAAGTATCGCTGAGGTTGTATCGCTCGCTCCAGTTCTCGATCCACCCCAGTTCAGAACACTGCTCGTGACTCTGGCCAATGGGATCAGTCAGAACATCATTTGTTGGAAGGATTGGCTCAGTTGGTGCAGCATGCTCCTCCTGGATATCTCGACTCGGATGACCTTGTTTTAGTCCTTAACATCCTCAGTTCCCGTTTACAAGACACGCATGGCTATTTCGAAGACCATCTCTATCGCCTCTCTGTTACAGTCTCACGTGTCCTCGATTCCGTGGTCAGTAATCAAATCAAGGGCCTGAAGCGACAGCAACTCCATGAGCCACTTGGAGCATACATCAAGGGATTGAGAGATAGCACAGATCCTCAACTAGTCTACCGAGCTGCTTATGCTTTCCAAGCCTTGCAGTATATCCCAGATGATGAATCAACAATGCAAGCCATGCTTCGACGGACATCAGCAGTGCTCCAAGGAGTGTTTGGAGTAGTGGGTGCTGTCAAAGGCTTAGATCTGAATGCCTTCATGGATGAGATAAGCAACATCAGGGAGGACACGTCAACGTGGCTCGAGTTGATGAGCGGCCAAACTATACTATAGTACCATAGTTAATTAATCTGTAGAAAAGATCTTGTTTCGACAATGCTAGTAGAGTAATGTTTCATTGACGAAGTGCAGGATTTGTGCATGTACTCTTCCTAGGTATTATTGTTCTCATTTCAGTCTATTGTCCTGGCAACCTACCCATAACCATGCATAGAGATTATTCTCTTTCTAGAAACCCTTCTTTCCCTTCCCGAAAACAGCTACAAGCAAGCAGACTGCTGAAGGAAAAAAAGAATAAACAAAAAAAAATATAAAAAAAACTATATATTTACATACACACTCTTTTTACTGCTTTGCAAAGGAGAAAGGATCCAAAAGGTGTTTGAACCTGCAGTGAAACAATTGTATAAAACGACAATGACAAATAAAAAGTTCCTAGCGTCAGCGAGACGCTGGAAGAGTTGTTAAGAATATCTCTCAAAGAGGGGAACAGAGCATATGGTCCTGTATCATGTACTGTACATGTACATGTATGCATCCATGCTTATTCTTCTTTTCTCTCTTTTCCCCTTCCTCACAACGTCACTTTTTTTTTTTTTACCTATGATCGAATCTTTGGAGTAAGGGACACACATTCACCTCTGGAACTTACAAAAAACATTGATTCACATACTAACAAAAGTATTGTGAATTAAACCCCACTTCTATATCCAAAGTTATTAGATTACAATCCAGAGGAGAAAAAGAAGCAATAAACCATGTTTGGCTCCATGAATATTCCTTCACGAAGCGTACTTACGCCAGCACAGGCTCTGAGACTCTTCGATTTCTACATGCAAGGTGCTCGCACTATAGACGACGATAACGACATACTGATGGAACTATGCCTCGATGCAGATTCTGTACTGTCTCGAATCCAGAAGCCTGTGAGAAAGCCCCTTGCATCAATGACTTCAGTCTCTTCAGCTTCTGGTGAAGACATGGCATTGCGCCAAGGTATTGCCTCAGCCTACTGTGAGCTTGCCCGCCTATTTGAACATCTGGGTCGCTCAAATGATGCTCAAAAACGTCACAAAAAAGCAGAGAAATGGGGTTACATCCAAGGAAACAACAGCAACATCAGCAAACAAGCAATCAGCGAAGTTAGGAGCAGCAGATCGAATAGAATAGTGAAAGCAGCACCAGCACAGACCATTGCAACTATTTCAAAGGCCATATTCAATCACAATGAGCCTCCAACAGCCATCAAGTACAGCTTACCGGATGCTGGTACTCAGCTGAATGACACCCACCAGCTTGTGTATTGTTTATCTCTGTTATCACTTACTCCTATCCAAACAAATAATCTCAATGACCACGAGAAGGCGTGGCGCCAAGCTATATCGAACGATCAAGATGAACATGAGCGACTGTGTAAACTGGCATCAGATGTGATTGAGTTGTTCATCAATGATGACATCAAAGCCGAGGCATCTATTGCCGAGGTTGTGGCTCTCGCTCCAGTCCTTGATCAAGTGCAATTCAGAACACTACTCATGGCTTTGATCAATGGGATCAGCCAGAACATTATGCTGGAGATCCATTTGTTAGAGGGGTTGGCTCGGTTGCTGCAGCGTGCTCCTCTTGGATATCTCGGCTCAGATGACCTTGTTTCAATCCTCAACACCCTCAGTCTCCGATTACAAGGCACGCATAGCCAATCTACCAGCCATCTCTATTGTCTGTCAGTTACAGTCTCACATGTCCTCGATGCCATGGTCAACAACCAAGTCAAAGGCCTGAAGCGAGAGCAACTCCATGAACCACTTGCTGCATACCTCCAGGGACTAAAAGACAGCTCACATCCTCAACTAGTCTACCAAGCTGCTTATGTCTTCCAAGCCTTGCAATATATACCTGACGACGAATCAGCAATGCAA